ATCAAAGTTCACATTTCGCTCACCTGCTTGAGACGGTTCCACAAAACTGATTGAAACTTTAAATAAAACAACCCAAAAAAGTTTTGAAAATATAATGCCAACAGAAAATAGTGCAAAGATAATTGATAACATTCTGATCAGTTATTATTACAAACAAATTATTGAAAGTAAGAAGCCATGTAAGGCTTTGTATGCGGTTAAAATCGTTATTTTGAAATTGTTAACCATAGTCATGTGATCTCAAAGTTTATTGAGATGAAAAACAGCGAAGCTATATATCTGTTTCATATAACTATCCGATTTTTCCTTATGGGTTTTTAAGAATATTAATATTAAAACAGTAAAATTGAAATTTCAAACCATCTATATATCTAGAAGTTTAAAGAAAATGGCCTTAAAACTGGGAGACTAGAAACGAACGAATGGAAAGGAGTGATGCTGATCAAGAATATATATACTTGCCTGCTTTACAACGTTGCAATCTTTTAAGTACAAGGGTATAAAAACAATTGCCCTTTTTTTAGGGAACTTTATAACTTGTTAGTAACCCACTTCTAAAACTTCAGTTAGAGTACCGCATTGGTACCGATTCTTTAAAATAAATTTTAAACAAACTCATACGGACGGACAGGCAGATGGACTTGGCTAGATCGACTCGGCTATTGATTCTGATCAGAAATAAAATTTAATCATTATAGGGTCAGAAAATCCTCCTTCTAGATGTTAAATACTTATCAACGAATAGAATATACCGTACGAGTAAGGGGTATTAAGATCTACAGATAATAAAAAAATAAGCACCTTGCACTTTGCGCACTGTACTACTATAGTAGGTACATATGTACATAAACACAGAGATCAAGCATTAGTATTAAAGTTGCCTTTCTTGCACACTTGCAACATACTGGAGGGCAGCACCTTAATTTTCCTCTAAAAGAAGAAGTTTTAATCAGCACTAATCCGTCTTATTTTCTTTTTGAACTAAAAGGGTGTTTCCACTGGCCATCTTCGAGGTGGAGGAGAACTCTCCGGTGCCGCACGACAAGACGGAGTTACAGGAGTTCCTGCGCACAGGCAAAGCCATTCCCTTCCACAAACGGGTTTGCGCCAGTTGCCACGGTGTACCCAAGTCCAAGGAGTGGATGTCCGCCAACGAGACGGACGAACTGAGTGTGTTTCACATAGGTACTGGACTCAGAATTAGATGCTTCCTTTGGAACAATATATATTCTATTCTTTTGCCTATTGCCTTCGCAGGAAAACGAACTGGTTACTATGTTCATTGGGAGCCGATCTACATTGGAACGCATGCGGATCCGCACTACGATGAACGGCTCAGCTGGGAGGGAAAAAGCGACAAGATGCCTCAGGTAAGTGCAGCCGTAACTGGGTTCGGTACCAAAATAATAATGACAATTGTTCTCAGGGCTATGCGCTTTGCGTACTGGACTACGAGTTTCACATACTGGACAATGCATTTCTGGTGCACAAGCCGGGCATCAAGGTGCTGAAGAAGGACAATCGCCGGGCCATGTTGTCCGGCAAGACGAACCAGCTGATACGAAAGATCATCTACCCCGAACTGAAGATCATGTACGGCATGCGCAAGGGATGTGCGATATAGTAACTAATACTGAAACCAAGCTGAGCTCAGTCCCGATCGAACGGCAAGGACGCCACCAAGGCGAAAAGACTACAACCCACTTCACTATTACTATTTGCAATGCTATAGATCGGTAGTGTGGACTATACCGATTCCGATACCGATTTCGATTCCGATTCCCCTTAAAGCTTTGGATGCGCACTGCGAGTGCGTGTGTGTGTGTTTTACAACTAGCTAGAGACTTAGGCCTAGGACTAATAGGGCATTATAGGTAGTTAGAGTAAGCTTTAGGTCAGGTCGTGTAACGCCATGTGGGCCTATTGGGTTTTTAAGCGTTCCGGGTTACCCGTTTTCTACTCTGCAGAGCCCTGAGAGCACGGCCTCAATTGGTTTAACATAGTTAAATGTGGCTTTTAAATATCATGCTGTATTCCATTTACCAAGCAGCCAACAAACTAGACGGTTCTCCAATACCAATTGCTGTTAAGGCATCCACATCCACAGTCACAGCCACACGCATAGATTTGATCCACTTCCATGAACTTTTGTAAATAGTAACACACTTGAAACCACTTACTGGGCCTTGCCCCTCTCCTGCTCTCTGGCCACAACTGGAAGCTTGTGAGCTATAGGAATTTCCACTACTCAAAGGCAGTCATTATCAGTTACTTTTAGGTTAGGCCATTAACTTAAGTATATCGTTATTTAGCCGAATTTTCCATATGCATCCATTTACGAGCTGAAGCTGATTGGTTTTCAATTAATGATTTATGGATTTTATTTTCAAAATACTCAAGAGAGGCAATGAGAGCAACATTATTTTTGTATACCAGGGCGATATTCCTAATCGACATCAGCAAATAACAACAGTCTTACCATTTTGCGTGTCTGTACTTGCATTAAACAATATTTTTCTTGGGCACTGTAGACTTACTGTAAAGACCAAAACGTAGATTAGACCGATACCGGGCCAAAACAATTCCAGCGTTAAATTTTTGACTTGAATAGGAAGTAGGAATCATTGAATTGGAACCTATTAAATAGACTTTGAGAGTTAAATCGTAGTAGATATAGCGGTAAAATAAAAAAGGCTAAAGACAAGTTTCAACAGAACACAATTACTATTAAAATTTATACAAGAAAACACACACTGAGAATTGATTTGCTTACTTACCTTACCGCTCTGAATGGTAGGCAAATTAATGCAATTAATGCAATTGAAGATTACATTTCAAAAAGCATAAATGCGAACCGTGATATTTGTACTAGTAAAGCGATATGGAGATGTTAAACCTAATTAATAAGAAACAAAGGGAACGATCGGAAACAGAGATCAGAGACCCATGCATTAAACTTAACCTAACTTTAGTTTTGTATATGTTTTTTATTAGTGTTGAACATTAAGTCAAACTTGTGCACATATAAATGTTAAAAACAATAGGTATTGTGAGATCGAATCCGCAATTCGATGCCGAGTGAAATGCTGAAGGTTTTTGTTGCGTATGCCTTATCGAGTTAATGAGAAATAATAGTAACTAAGCGGTCGATTTTTAGGGAGTTACAAAAATATTAGTACTTAGCTGAGAAACGCAAATTTTACGTATGTTGTTGAATATTTAATAAAAGTACATATTTGAAGTGACTTGGGAACAACATACAACAATTGGTGTTTGTATTTATTTCACATTTAGTTCGTACTTGATTTAGCTAAGACCGTTTATCAGATCAAGTCTTACACTTATTCGCTCAAAAAAATTGTTTCGATTATATATTTTCCATAAGTAAGACTAAAATATCACTAAAACTATCGAAAGTTGTTGAAAAAGTAGCTAAGAGCAAATTACAAAATATAACTAGAATAAAAAAGATTTGAATTAACGGATATATTTGTATGATGTAATGTAAAGTGGAAAAGTGCCTTAGACAAAACGAAGAATATAAAACATTTGTAAGAATCGATGCAGTTGAAATATTTTCTGAGTTTACTTTGAATTTGCAACGTCTTGTGTTCAGAACGGCTAAAGGCATACAGCTTATTTTTGTATGTAGATAAATAAAACGTTTCGGCAATGTATTAAACTGTATCTGTACATAAATATTTCATTGAAATTATATATTTTTGAAAACTTTGAGTCGATGTAACTTTTCCAATTAAATGAGTCTTCTTAATGATTCAAACCCTGCCAATTCATAAATTCCTCTTACTTTACGAAGAATACTTTCAATTTAGTTCTTAATTGATTTTTTTAAAATCAACACCTACTTTGACCTCGAGTCTTTGATCGTACATTTTGGACTTACACATATTTAATGAACGCCTCATATGTCTTAACATAACTTTTGTAAGAGTCAAGTGCAAATCTGCTGAGCATGGACTATTAGCTAAAATCTAAGGAAAGCTACACAAAAACGGAAAAAAAACTGATAAAATAAAGAAGAAAAATAAAATAATGTAAAAGTGTATTATTCTCCCTACGCATTACTTAATGGCTGTCGTACGACCAGGTATTATTTACATACATTCAAAATTCTCCTGAAACAAGACTTAAGGATAACTCGAAATAAATAAATACAAAATCCGTAAATAACCTAATTGGTGGTTGATTGTTGAGAATAATGAAGCTTGTTGGAAGAATTTAATATCTTAAGTAAATCGAGTCTTTGATGACCGAAATTGGTTAACGAAAACTCCAAATAAAAACAAGAATGGCTTAAAAACAGGCATGGAACATCAAATTACTTTAGGTGCAATTAGACCAATTGCAACAATAATATCAAAGTCTTGTTTGGCGATCATTTTGTTGAATTGTCTTTTATAATGGAATTATTTACACAAGTGTAATTTTTGCTGATGTATCTTAAATGTTTCTTCTATAACTTGTTTAGACTTTAGTTCTCTAAAAACCCCCACAACCTGAGTTAAAGCCTAATGCCAAGATCATTGTCAGATTGTCGTGATTGGTACGGCCTCTCATGGGCGCAGTCGGCCTTGACTTTATATTGGATTTTCTGGTTTCTTTTGATTTTTGGTTGGCTGTTCGACGAAATCAAAAGTGCGAATTATGCAAATCAAATTCAAAATATATTAAATTCAGACGTCGTTATTTAATATTTAGCTGAAACTGTGAGCAGAACTTGCTTCGATGATGAGCTGACTCATCTCGAGCGAAAGGAAGCTTTTTTGTCTGTTGAAATTTATGACATCTGATGTCTTTTTTTATTTCGCTGTTTTGTTTTTTTTTTTTTTTTTGTTGCACCTGAGGCAGCGGCGACGGCAAAAGCTGATGCGAATCCCAACAGGTAGAGGAAGATCAGCAAGCTCCGGCGACGGCTCGGCTCGTTGTGATCATCATCTTGAAGAGCTTCAGCTTCAGCTTCAGCTTCAGCTACAGCTTCATATCACCAGTTAATATCTGCGTTGCGTTTCTAGCGCAAAACAGTCGAAATTGTCAGCTCGTTGGGTGAGCATCGCACGAGCTCTCCTCTAGTTAAACGTTCAGTGCCCACAGAGACCGTCTTTGTGTCCAAATCCCAAGGATTTAACAATACAGTTACCATGGCTAAAATACTAATCAGTGCTTTATTGTGCGTTGCCATGTTTGGCTCGATGGGTTAGTACTTTTACAATATACTTTAAACAATTATACTGCCAAAACGATTTAAGCAATTTAAATCTTTGTGGTTGTACCATATAAGCAAAAGAATACAATAGGTGATGTATTCGGTAACATACTTATTATTCATTTCATCTCCAACTATTAAGAAAGGGTGTTAATATTACAAACAACTCTTTACGGTTATTATCTGTTTTTAATTTTTATTATTATTGAAAGCTATAATATAATATGACAAGCTGGTGGCGCAAGTTTCCCTTAGACTTTCGCGAATCCTACACTTATTTCGCACAATCTGCATTGCTGAGTTGTTTGAGCAATTTGCAGCATTGAGACTGAGGTGACAATGCAATTTCATAGGATGGGATTATTCGGCTCACACTCACAATGTTTCACAATACCAGGAAATCACACGAATCAGCAAAAACTGAAGGAAGAGAAAAATGCACACGAGAAAATGAATTGTCCAAGTGCTACTAATATTTAAAGTCGCACCCAAATTTCATTCATATTTCAAGGTCAGCTGGCAGTATTTTCAAAAATTGAATTCACACGTTGTAGCAGGTAGAAAAAAGTGGATATTGCATAACCTTTGGCTGGCGTTGGTCCATTGGGTGATCTCGTCGAGCACCGTCGACGCCATGAAACGAGTTTGTCTGGCGGATAGCGGTCAGACTTGTTGGGGGGAGCTGCTGGCGACAGATCGATCTCGATGCGTGCGCAGCCGGTTGTTGTGACCTTTAAGCGTCTTTGCACCTTCTCGGGGGAGCTCTTTTAATTTGGTTCAACATCTTCACTACGCCAACTCTTGGCTAGAAGCGAATGACAGCAAAGCTTACGTTTAAAAAATCTCGAAATAATCCGTCTAACTTGTGCTTAATTTGGACCAAAAATCATATATGGATCAATTACGTTTTTTGTGCTCAAAATGAATATGTTCCTTATTTAATTTTCCCAATTTGGAAAAAAAAAACTTTCCTATATTTTAAAACAAAAAAATTATGAAGATTCTTAAAATAGGCGATCCTTTGAATAGAAATGACCCTTTTTCAAAAAATAAACCGTTTTTTTTAATTCGTCGATCGCGTTTAACATACAAATTTCAATGCCGTGTTTAATTTAGTTTTGTGTAAGCTATCGAGCCTTTTAATCGGATAATTTTAAAAATTTTTAGATCAAACCACGCGTTTGAAAATATTTTTTAAGAAAAAATTAGTATTATGCATAAAGCATATCACTCTGCTTGATCTTATATTGCTGATCTTATATATCTGAAGAATTTAATCAAATTAAAAACGGGTTCTGTTTCCCATAGAAAGGAAAACAACGATTATAAAGATAGATTTTTTAAATTATATAAGTGTATTTTTATGATTTGTTGTTTCCAACTCGTAAGCTGAACATTGCTTTGGTGTCAGGCTTTTCTGAGCACAAGTGCATACATTGTTATTCGCGTTATTCGTATATGTAACGGGTAGAAGGAAGCGTTTCCGAACCTATAATGTATTTAAATTCTTGATCAGGATCAATAGCCGGGCAATCAATCCCTGCCCGTTTGTCTTTCCGTCTGTATGTCTGTCCGTATGAAGGTCGAGATCTCGGAAACTATAAGACGCTGAGGTTTGGGAGATAACATGCAGTTCGGTCTTTGCCTTTGTAGTGCAGGCTTATTTCAAAATGTAGCCTCGTCCAGTCTAACGCCCATAAATTGCGAAAGTTTTTTGTGTCACTCTGAAACATCATAGAGGCTAGTTATAAAGCATTGTATGTTTATTAGGTTAAATCCTACCGACATACTCTATACAATCAATCTTACAAACCGTACTTTAATATTAGAAGTTGCTGCCAAAAATGTAATTTTCCGGTAGATGGCAGCACCTAAGCCCCAGTTACGTTCTGAGGGTATATTTATTACGAAATTGGTTAGCTGAGCAACGGGTATCTAATAGCAGGGGTACTCGAATTCAGTTTTTTTCTTGTTTTGGTTTCTAAAGCCTCTTATTTGCGATTTCATACTTCGAATGTTGGGGAATGTGGGGCGAAACAGACCGGTGGATCGAAAAGAACACCCCCGGTTGTTCGGCCACGCGAAAAACGAAGCTTTTTGATATAGCTTTATAAATTGCTGAAAACAAAGAAGCTTCACTAACCGGTTGGAACATACGTAGATATATAAATGAACCTTATAAAAAAGATTTCAACAAATAACAATTTCAATTTTATAGATCTGTTAAAAGCCACCCTCTCCACTCCACACGAGTAGGTCGGCCGTATAGTTAAGGCAGATAAAAATCACATATCATAACCTGTGCGCCATTAAACGTAAGGAAAACCAACGTTTTTTTCTCAAAACATTGTATTTGTCAGATCGCTTACACGATTACTCAGAAAGTTTGAAAATCTGCATACACTTTTCCAATACAAATAATGCTCTCTATTGAAATTTTGCAAAAACATAATATTTATTTTTAAGGAAGAACTATGTAAATTTTAGTGAATTTAGACTTTGAAAGCGTTTTCCAAATGTTCGGGTTTCTCAAACGAATTTACAAACAAATTTTTTTTTGTCGATTTCTGAGCAATACAATTAGCGCGAGTGTACGCAGTTTGAGAAATCTAAACAAATAATATTTCGTAATATTGGATTTCCTAATTTCAAACTGAACCGACTCCGGTCTGTTGTGCAATGATGGATTGAAGAATTCGCATTTGTGTTTTTTTAATTCTTGTGCGACCAGAATAATAAAACAAGAAGGAACTATTGGATATTTGTTATTGCTAAACAACGTCAAAAATAAAGAGTGACCCCTAAAAATAAACGGGTTTGGTGGAAAAATTTACATTTATGCTAATAACTTCTAAAAACAATGGATTTTGAAAAACGTTAGACAATTTTTGTACAATGTCTTAGAATGACGTTGACAGACTTTCGCGATTTGTAGGCGTTAGAGTGGGCGTGGCTATGTTTTAAATTAAACATGCGCTGAGTTATACTTAAATCTACATGTCTAATCCCAAATCTCTAGCTTTTACAGTTTCCGAGATCAGCGTTTTTATTGAACAATAAACCAGAGCAACAGAAATCTGTTAAAACTGACTGTTCAACTACTTAAGACACTAGTTCTCATATAAATGTTCTATACTGTAGAATTATCAGCTTACTTTCGTACTGGTTGCTGACTAGACGACAAACTATTGAGATTTAAGTGTTGAAACTGCGCGAAAGGGCTTAAGTATTGTTTAATTAAATGTAATGTATGTGACCATACCGATACAGATTAAATACATTAATTTTAAGTTTTATATTGCGATACTTTGTAATTTTTCTCGCTTTCACACTTAATTTAGACAGCTAGTCGAATTAAAGCCCATCTCTAAGGTCAAATTTTTTTTAAATTGTATTTAATGAATGTTCTAAAATAAAACAAACGTGGTTTCAACAGTCGAGGTGTGTGCTCACGACTCATTAAAATGTTACAACCAGCGTATGAGTGTGTTACATCGCGGGTGGGACAAGACAATCCCTTGTCGCGTCTAAATTTCCCACAAAAAGTTCGATCATAAGGCATGCACAGTGTGACAAATAGCTAAAAAGAGGGTCAGTTTCTCATCATAAATCATTAGAGGTAAGCGCGCCACCCCAAGCAATCGATCCATATTGACCGACATCTGCCATCTCTTCCAGCTGCCGCCGCCGCCGCCGGAGGATGTCGCGAGGCGAACGGAACCGCCCCCGTGTCCGGATCCTGCGATGCCTACATCGAGTGCAAGAACGGAGTGGCCGAGGAGAAGCTCTGCCCCGACGGCCTGCTGTACAACGAGAAGTCGACGGGCTACCCCTGCGGCTATCCCATCGACGTGGAGTGCACCCAGGGCCAGAGCCGGCTGCAGAGTGCCCAGCCCACGGAGGACTGCCCCCACCAGTTCGGCTACTACCGCATGGGCGACGCCAGCCACTGCGGCCAGTTCATGAACTGCGCCGCCGGCAAGGGATTCGTGTTCGACTGCCCCGAGGGTCTGGCCTGGAACCCGGCCACCTACAAGTGCGACTGGCCCGACCAGGTCGAGGACTGCGACGCCGAGGCCTTCCTGGGATTCCGTTGCCCGGCCCTGGCGCCCAAGTCCGAACTGCTGGGCGAGCAGGAGGCGGACTACACCTTCCATCCCTCGCCGGACAACTGCCAGGTGTACTTCATCTGCATCGAGGGCCGGCCACGCCGCATCGGCTGCGGGGAGGACCAGGCCTTCAACCAGGAGCTGAAGCAGTGCGACGACATCGACAACGTGCCCAACTGCAGCAGTGCCATCCGTGAGAAGGGCGCTCAGATCAAGGCCGCTCGTCTGCACGCCAAGAAGAACTGAGTCACAAGAAGGCGACCATCCGGTGGCAGTGGCTTTCCAGGCACACGAGCCCCATGGCGATAGGTTGCTCGAGTTTTCTAGTCTGTAGTTAATGAATTTGGCAAACTGATTGTTGACATTTTGCTTGTAACAATAAAAAACGATAAGCGTAAAGAAAACCCAAACCCAACCAAACTTTATTTAAAAACAAGAGAGGAAGCTAACTTCGGCAAGCCGAAGTTCATATGCCCTTGCAAATTAAATAATTACTTGCGGATATGTTTAAAAACATTGAAGCTATGATCATTTGCAGCTCAATTATTCAAAAGCTCTTATGGTAGCTAATGATGTCATTTTCCGATTTCAATAAAATTAAAATCGTAATTCTGAACTGTCAAATTATCAATAAGTCAAAAAGAATTTTAAAAAAAATTAAAAAATAGAAAATTTACATTTAAAACAAAATTTTTTTTAATATTATTGTTTCTATATGAGCTTTATATTATAGTCGCCCGATTTTTATGAAATTAAAACCGTAATTCTGAAATATTTAACCATTACTATATGTCGAAGAACTAAAAAAAATTACAAATCAGAAAACTTATAATTTTACAATTGGAACCGCATTAGTTGAGAAGCCAAACTATAAGATTTGCTCCCCGGTAACAGATCTTTCGCTCTCTTGAATATTTGAGCTGCGTTTTCAAATTTGGTCATGTCATAACTTGACTTTAACTTTCAATATTAAGGACCAATTTTAATTGGAAAAATGTTGTTGCATCGTTAGATATTGACCGATTAAACATATAAGATCCAATAACTGGCCCATACTATGTCTTAGAGTATATTAAATCCTAAATTTCGAAATCTCGACATTTATACGGACAGACAAACGGACAGGGCTTTATTGACCAAGAATATATGTATGGTTTTTTCAGGGTCGAAAACGCTTCTATTTAACTGTTACATATTATTAAAAGAACACAATATACACATTTACTGCACGAGTGATGGGTATAGTTACAAACTTGTTTCCACGCCAAAAGAAGCCACTTCTTTAACGTCCTGTTTTTTGAATTACAGTACTCGGGTCACCGGAATGCCCCTCGCCCAATGGACGGTTTGCATCCGGGGATCAATGTGACGCATACACCGAGTGCCTGGACGACGTTCCCGTGCAGAAGCTGTGTCCGGACGGACTGCTCTTCCATCAGCGCACCAAGGCCACCGGCGAGTGCACATACGCCCCGTACTCCACCTGCAAGGAGCGGGCCCGCCTGCAGCCCGCCAACGGGACGGACGAGTGTCCGCGCCAGTTCGGCTTCTATCCGAACGGAGACGCCACCAAGTGCGGCGTGTACCGCAACTGCGCCCACGGCGTGGCCAGCCTGACCAAGTGCCCCGAGGGACTGGCCTTCAACGAGGAGACCTACCAGTGCGACTGGCCCGACCTAGTGGCCAATTGCAACGCCGAGGCCTTCCTCGGCTTCAACTGCCCCGCCGCCGACCCGGCTGACGCAACCGCCCCCGAAGTGGACGTCAGCCCGGAGGGCGAACTGCGCTACTACCGCCACCCGCAGACCTGCAAGAAGTACTTCGTGTGCGTCAACGGACACCCCCGACTGTACAACTGCGGCAAGTACCTGGCCTTCAACTCGGAGTCGAAGCTGTGCGACTTCTACAACAAGGTGCCCGAGTGCTACGCCCTGCTCAAGGAGAAGCAGCGCCTCAAGGCCGAGAAGCAGAACCAGCAGGTGGCTCAGCCAGAGGCCTAGGTCCTTGGACTCCCCGAGAAACCGAAGGATTCCCAGAGGCTGCAATCTGCACACTTGTTGTGCAATGATTTCGTAACCATACTATAATAATCGTTTAATGTTGTAAATATGTAACTGCTTGTTGTTTATGCATTAAATAAATAAGTAACACTTGTATATATATACACACAAGCACGAGTGATAGTAACGCTTCGCCTAGTGCCCCGACCAAAGACTATTATATAGTTATAGAGTCTTTGCTCCTGACTAAAGCAAAACAGTAATTGCCTTGATGACTATCAATATGTATATGCTTCACCTGTGGATGGCCTGCAAAATGCAGAACAGAACATCCAAACTTCTGAATATTTACAAATTGGATAAATTTCGGAGTAAATGAATACACGTTAAAAATGTATTTTTGCGACTCATCCCATGGTAGCGTCGGTAAAGTTGACCAGTTTTTGTTGTTAATGTTGAAAATGTTTTCTTACCTGCGCTGCAAACGTTTTTTTTATTCTCTAGAAGCATATGAAAAATTAAAAAGAGGAATTTTTCTTATAATTCTAAGCAGAAAAATAAAGGTTTCATATTAGAAGGACTTTGTGGATATAAATTTGGAAACCAGTGTAATAAGACATATTAAATATAATAATTGATTACATACTCTGACAGATATCTAACCAGAACCTTAGCAGAAATCAGCATGGCAATATATCTATCCTTATCATAAAATAAAACTGCATTCATTAGTTCATTTTTAGTTTGTAATTTATTATCTGTTTCGGATTTTCAGTTTTTTTTAATTTTGGGTGTTAGTTATTAGTAATAGTTAGCTTATTGGTAATTGGTAGATTAATTAAACTTATATTTATATTGCATAAGTATGATGGCAAACCATATCCACACATTTAAACATTTTGTCCTCAACATATTATTATGCTCGTCTTTTTTAATCAATTTAAAATTTTACAATGTTTCATTAGTTTAAAAAACACCTTTTTAAAAGCCAATTCCATTCTGAAGTAAAGGTTTTGTTTTTGAAAATAATTTAAGCTCGAATTTTTTATTGTTGATTTAAAACATTTGTTCTGTACTATCACTATGTAACCAATTTGTTTCGTTCAGAATGTTTTGGTGTTGCTTAAAACTAAATTCTCCATTCATCCTTTTGGATCCGATCGCTTCCGTTTTCCTCTGATTCGTTTCTTCTTTGGCTATAAAAATTAAATTACTCATAGGTTTTGTTTTTTCAACGTTTGCACTATTTTGTTGTAGATGTTTTTGCTGTTGTTTGAGTATCAGTTTGTTCATTACATTTGATTACAACAAATAATTGGTAGTTTAGTTTAGTATTGTATTTGGTTTTACAAATTTTTCGATTCATATCATATCTTTTTGCTTTGTGGTGCTGGGCTAAGGCGACTTTCGTTTGGTTGTTTTCACTTTGTTTTGGTTGTCTTTACATTTTGCAATATATTCAACTTTTGTATCCGTTCTCATGCTTTCCACTTTTACATACACAAAAATAAACAACTTGCTCTGAATGAAAAAATAAAAAAACATATTTAGACGCTAAAGAAAAACAAATACAAAAAATTAAAAAATTACTTCTTTAGTCTTTTTAAAATTTGTGCTAGAAATTCGGCTATTAAAATATTTAAGTTCATATCCACACTCGAGAAAAGTACACATATTTTCATTTCAGTGTTTTTGTTACATTTTGGTTTTCATTTAAACATATTCAGTCTTTCAGCTTCTAACATAAATAAATTAATTAAATTAATTTATTTAATTACACTTAAAAACATCTTGTTGCTTGCTGCCTGTAAATAATTTTGAGTTCTATTGCATTTATGTGGTAATTTTTCGGTTGTCTGCCTATCGTTGCTTGTTGTTTAAATTTATAGCCAAAAAGTTGTTTCAAGAAAATTTTGAAGAAATTTTTTCATCCTTAGAAAAAGTTGGTGTAGAAGCCAAAATGTTGCTTGTTTACTTGTTGCCTTATTTTACTTAATTCTAATTTTTCTTTTTTGTGTTAATCATTTACAATTATTTGTATTAGATTTAATATTTGTTATATAGTTTACCCACCAATCCTTTCATTTTTTTAGAGCGCTTTAAAATAGGTTTTACTCGTGACTGGTTTAGTTTTTTCCCCATACGTTTAAAATCATTTCAAGTGGACGTAGCATCTTTTCGTTTTGGATTATTCAAAATGTGTTGCTTAATTTTAATTAATCAATATATAAGAAATATATAAAATTTGGTGTCTAAATTCAGTTGTTTTTAGGAGTTTTTTATGTTGAAACTAAATTAACTATTCTTTTGCGTAATGGTTTAAAAGTTTATCAAATATCCTCTGTTAAATTTTATTTTTTTTTGCTTTTTGGGTGGGGCTTACGTTATCGTAGTTGTATGTAGTCTTTCTTTCGATCTTTCCTTTTATATACGTCAACTCAAAAGTTTTCGTCAACATATTTTTCGTGTTTCACTCGTTTCTTACTGTATAAACCGGTCTCTTGTTAAGGCATCTGCTTTTTGTCACTGAAGTTGTGGATTTTTTGTTTCTAGTTTTGGTTTTGCGTTTTACAGTATGTTTTAAGCTGCATTGGAATTTTAATTCATTTTTTTTTTAAATGATTTCCAAATTAGTATGTCTCCAATAGTTTACATTTGCCCAAAGATTTACAAGTTTTGCTGTGACTCCTAAAAACAACAAAATATGGTTGTATTCTTTATGATTAATTTAGCAATACCTTAAGTATCCATTTTAAATTGAAATTGTACGATTACTTTGTAATACAGCAATAGCCAAAGTTTCCTATTGAGAATAGGTTTTTAAATTTGTTGTATTTGAAGTTTTTTTTTTGACAGTTTTGAATTTTTGTAGGTCTCTGAAAAACTCAAATATAATTCAGCATGCAGGTTACAATGCGCATTTTGAATTTTTATATGTTTTATATTAAATCTTAAGTATTTGAGGGCATATAAGCGCCTTGCTGGATAAGCATTTTAAATTTAATAGCTGAAATAAAAAATCTTTAAATAATTAAAAACACATTGGTATTTTTATATTTAAAAACATAAAAATGTTTAATGAAAATTCATTTTAATAATGATCGCAAAAACTTAACATTATACAAAGAAATTTAGGCGTTTTAAAATCAAAATTTTATGAAAAACCTTTAGTCTACTAAGATACAAAAATAATGCAAAACTCAACTCATTAAATCGATAAAAAATAGGAAATTTAAAACATCTTGATTCTTTTACAGTTGTTAATAAACTAAAATTATTGTTGTTCTTCCAGTTAATGGAACTTTCGCTTTTTACCGCCTCGTTTCTTTCCCTTTCCCTTTTTGGCCAACTTGCGCTTTTTGCTTCCATCGCCACGCAGCGCCGATTCTCGACTAATCTCCCCAAGGATTTCATCGCCAAGTGTGCCTGCGGATTTCACAAATAAATCGGTTAGAAGTTTGGGAATTGGGGACATCATCGATGGTCGAACGTACCCAACGTGGTCAGTTTGCGCTGACGATGCTTTTCGGCCTTAGTCACAGGCAGACGCATTAAGTAGGTCTCCTCGTACTCCTGTTTCTCCTTCTGCGCATGGGACAGCAGCTGCTGGGCCCGCGAACCAGACGATATCTCGGTAGGAGCGTCCAAGTACTCCTCTTTGAGGTCCTGCAGCATGGAAGACCTGGAGAAGGGAGGTATATCATCTGCTTAAAGGTCGAAACAAAGAGAGATGAAGGTGAAGATCTTACGTAATCGCCCGCTTCTTGGCCCGGTCCATGGCCTTTTTCTCCTTGTCAGCATCGCGTTCGTCGCCATCGTAGTAAACCGGCTTGATGCGTGGCGGCACATACACTCCGGACTTTCCGGCTGTGGCCGCCTTGCGCGGCATTTTCGCTGCTCCGGTCTCATCCTCCTCATCCTCATCGTCATCGTCATCCTCCTCCTCCGCGTCGCTGTCATCCTGCGCATCCTCTCCGTTGGGTCCTGCACTGCTCATCATGTCATCTGGATTGGGCTTATAGAGAATGGGATCTGTACTACTCGACACGCCGGTGGTGGCTGTCTTGACCAGCTTGTCGATCTGGTAGCGTAGCTTGTGGTCTATGGGCCGAATCTTCTCCAGCACAGTGCGAATCTCGATCAGGCGTTCGATAGAGGGATCACCCTCGATGGTTTCGCCGGAGCATTTGCGTAGAACCACGTAGGTCAAGTTGATCAAGTAGTCGAGCAGCATGTGGTACTTCACCTCCAGGAAGCTCAGACCGTATTCCGTGGTCAGCTCGCCGCGCTTGACCCGCTGCAGCATGCCCTCCACCAAATCTGTCACCTGCTTCACGTTGCTGTTCATCTCCCCAAGCAGCTGAATAGCCTGCGGGATGTCCTGGCCCTGCACTTCGCAATCGTGGTCAAGAGCCTTCAAGAAAGAAATAAAATGTATTTAAATGGATAATTGTTTTGACACTGTCTGCTTTAAAAAACTTAGTATAAGGATATTGCTATGTATTTTATGTGACGGGAAAGTTACACGATATCCCAATTATGATTTTGTGAATATTATTAGAAGGTTTCAAAAGCTTACAACATGCCACTACTAAACATATATAATGTCATATATCATATATTGCCCAGTTAAGTGTGGTGTAACTCGTTTGCATATTTTGGTTGGTTGCTATTTAATTATTTGCATTTTACAACATTTTTGTACGCGCACTCTGACGCCCACTTCCCACCTCAGGGGCACTTCCTTTTTGACCGCCACGGCTTGTGTTGCATTTATTTTCAATTAATATTAATACACCAGTCGGCTGGCAATTACGTGGACAAATGGCGTGGTCTTGTTTGGTGATGCGGGATTTGTGTAGTTTATAGATTAATTGAAAATAGCAAAGCAAATAGCAATTTTTCGTAAATTTGTTTTTGTGATTTGTGGTTTGCGAGTTTTGCCTGCAGTTTACAAAGCAATTTACCAAATAATGTTCCTGTACATAACAATTTAGAACAAACCATATGTTCAAATTATTTTAAGCGAATTATTTTTTTGCCAGTTACTAGTAGAATTAATGGGTGTTTTTGTTAACAAGTAAGAAAACGATTCCGACCCTTTAAAGTATATATATTGTCCGTCGGACTTTGGAAACATAATTTTAAAACTTAAAATGAGAAAAGGGCTGTAATGTTTTAGGATGTTTGCTGCAAACCGCTTGTTTTATGTGTCAATATTTTTGTATGACACAATATTCATATAGCGTTAATAGAAAATAAATAAAACAAAATAATTAAATAAAAAGTCGAGATACTCGACTGTCAGATGCAAGCAATAGGGTTTTTGGTAACGCCATCTACCATCATGCATTGTCAACACTGTGGGCCTTATGACACTGCAATGCCCGAATCAAAATAAATATTAAAATCTTATTATTAAAGCGAACTAATATTTATTTACCCTGCGTCGTTAACCAAATAAAGTTAAAATTAAATAATTTACATGTTCATACTTAATTGGAAAATTATAAGAAAACTTTTAAACCTGTGTCTTAACCCAAAAATATTATACGAGTTATTGAAAAATTCAAATTCAATCCCTCCATCTTTATGACGCTATGACATGCACTATCTAATGCAGAGCAGCAGCAGAACATGGCGCGAAAAGCATAAAGCCGCTGTCGGCACACACCCATTGAGCAGAATTTTAGCTTTTGTAATAAATGTAAGCTCTGACAAAACAAAAAACAAAACTTAAAACTAAACTAGCATAGACAAAGGCTTTTCTGGCTTCCTGATTCAGCCAGAACTGCCAGACAAACAACGCGATGAATAAAACGCGAGAATAATAAAGTAAAGAAAACAGCAACAGCCAATCTCAGAAACGACAACAACTCCAACAAATCTCTAATATACAAAAGAAATCATAGAATATACTTTATAGTTTTATTTCTTTACCGAAGAGAATAAAGTTTATTTGTGGTAATTTTCTTTAAACCTCTTACAAAAAACAAACAGAATAAATAAATAATAAAACAATAAGTAAGTAAAACTTTACAGCGTTTTGTAATTATACATTTATATTGCACTACATATTTATATTGTTAGTATACGTTTAATTATGCACAATTTAAACATTTTTTGGGATATATTAACCTTATAAGCTTGTCTGAACTAAAAATATAAATATTTTTAATGTTAATTAATATTATAAATATTCTGTTAGATATTTAAGAATAAAATCATTCTGGTTGTAAAAATATGTATGTAATACTTGCGTAATAAAATAAAATCATATTGATAAATAAAATAATGTCAAATTTACACTTTAGCTTTCGGGAAACTAAAATTTCGATAACATATGTAGTATTAGTTTAATGCGAAGCATACTATAATCGTTATGCAATACTAAGAAGTAATACCGAGATTGTTTTAAAATTGAACTTGTGAGTGTAACTTTGAAAATTCCCTTTATATTACTTTAAAAAGTTTTAAGAGTTAATACAATTTCAGAACAAAAGTTTTGTTTCTTTGGCTATTTTTTTTAAGGTGTGAGATGAGATGGATATAACGAGGCTTCCAGCAACAAAAAGTACAGCGACAATGTGTACTGGGAGCTGCCTAGAACAAACAAAACAAATAGTAAACTATGGTTGGTAATGCCATACTGTTTTCCATTCCTTTTTGTTCCCCGAACACCAAGTGACAAAATGATTTAAAATTCGACGAGCTTTAGAGTCATTTTCATATGCAACGGCCAAAACGTTGCAATTTTATAAATCGTTGCGTTGTACATAGCACTGCGGGCAATGTTCAGCATTATCCGATATTTCGCAATGGATGTTTTGTACGCTTGTAGATGGCAACTAAAAAGGGTTCGAGTGCAAAAGCACAACCCATTATTAGCCCATAAGTAGGCAATGCAAATGCAATTGAATCCACACACGTACATATCTAGGGGTTTCCAGAGGGCTTTCAGTTTACACACGCTCATATTCATATGCATTCCCGCCGCACTCTGTTCGCTGCCGAAGTCCACAAATTGTGAAAAAACAAACAATTTTACTGGCAGTTTTTCCGTGGCATGAATAAAATATAAACTGCAATTTCTGTTTGTTTTTCAGCTGAATTTAATGACAAAATTTGATGGCGTCTGCCCCCTTCCAGTTCCCTTATAAGCCCCTTCCATGGCGAAACTTCAGTCTCGTCGGGAATTATTTTGGGTGGGATTTTCGTTTTCAATTTATTTTCATATTATTTTATGCATTAATGTCATAAATAAATTTCACTCCGTGTTTGTATGTGGTTTAGCTGTTTCTGTGATAATTGCGCAAATCCTTTACATATTTATAGGCTGAAATTGCAATTGGGTATACGCTTTTTGACAGAGGATACATGCAATTGTAGTGGTGACTAACAAAGTTATTTTCGGGGGTTAAGGGAAAATAAAACATTATTTGTATTTTTGAATATATACACCAAACCATACAACCAGTGTTTATGACCATTGCTCGTACAAAAAAAGGATATATTGTAATCGTACAAAGGTACAGTACAGCTGCAAGGAATCGTTTGAGACCTTATAAACTATATATATTCTTACTCCATAAGTACCACTAGAAACTAGTAACTAGCCAAATCTGTGTATTTGATGTCTGCTCTTATGTTTAACAAGATCTTAGGAAACATAAAACCTAGACAGTTGTGTTGATGAGTTGTCTTTTGAATGCGCAGCTTAATTTCTGTTACAAATTTCAAAAAAACTGGATTTTCTTCTTCATTTCTAATATTTTTAAACACCTCACTTTATTAAGATCATTTTTTGAAAAATTGTAAAGTGATAAGTGAAAATTTGAAGTGAGGGAGGATGGAAGGGCCCTGCGGCAAATTGCATGTACATTTGAGTAAACAAAAATTAATTTTATGAAGTTTTCCTTAAAGTTTAACTGATCAGAAAAAAAAAGTGCTTCGCGATTTGGTGTTTACGAAAAGGAAATCTGTGTTATTTCTTGTCTGTGGATATCTATTGAATTTCATTAAAGGTATATCGCGTACATACAATACAACAGAACAAGTGCATAAGCATTACAAGCTCCATAAAAAGGTATGGACAGGTATTAACTCAACCAAAATTATAGACTGAAAGCTATAAATGTCATATAAGTTATTTTTTGGAAAACAAGTAGACAAACATTTATTAAGACATAAGACATGCGTTACATCATCCATTAGTTCATTGTTTTGCTTCCTATGCAAACAGTAGACGCAAAAGTATAGTATAAAGCCTGGAACACTTGTTACAATAATGGAACTACAGATACTTCAACTTTTAAGTTGATTTCGTTTCTAAGTTTGGATTTTCCTTTCGGAAATCCGCAGTTTAAAATCCTAATTTTTTGTTCTTAGTTTCCAGCTTCTTTTTATGCCCTAAGAAGTTAATCAGATATCAGCACAAGAATTAAAGCTAAGATCTGAAAGTAAGTTCCTCTTGAGTTTTTGGGTTTCGCTTTATATTTGATAACTTTTCGTCAAAATACATATTTTTTCATTTTTAACTGAATATTTTATTAGTATTTGCCAATGCCAACAATCTTTTTATTTCGTTTCCATCCCACACTGTTCGTTGTTATTTAAAAAATTCGAGTATTCGCGGCACATACACAAATAGAATGGAGCGAAACAGGGAGAAGAGGACAAAAAAAGAAACGACATTGCTATGAAATATTGCCAATCAGAAACGAAACCGAAAATAAATCGATTGTTTCAACAAACGCACATAGCGCCCGACAACATGAGCAATGGGGCAACAACAACTGCGAATCGGACTGGCCATGGCCAAAAAGCGAAACAACAACCACATGCAGAAGGTGCGGACCGAAAGAGTCGGCAACAACACACTCCCTGTCTCATTCTCCGATATCCTGCGTCTCGCGAAAAGTGGGTGGTGGTGTGGTGGTGCGGCGGTTAGGCGGTTGGATGTTTGGATGGTGGTGCTGCCTGTACAGTGGGTCGGCTGAGTGATTGCCGCGACTGCGGGGATGCAAATTGAAACAGAGTTGAGCCCCGATCCCTGCCACTCCTGCCCGAGGACTGTCCAGTTGAACCTCCGCATCGGCGAACCTCCCACACTGACCCACGGACCGATATGCCATCCGTGTGTCGTTTGCTCGCTGGTCGTTTGGGCCTGGTTCATGTCGCTTTGCCGCTTCTGGCCAAAAGCCTCGCGGGCCCCAACAAGCGCGTCGAGTGATTGGGTGGCTAGGTGCAGGGCTTGGGGAAGGGGAAGGGGAAGGGGAAGGGGAAGGGGAAGGGGAAGGGGAAGGGGAAGGGGAAGGGGAAGGGGAAGGGAAAGGGGAAATGTGCTGGTTGATTCCCGCCGCTGCACGTTGCATTTGCATGTGTGGGACATAATTGGACAGGCTGGAACGTGGG